AAGGAATGTAGGGCAGAATTTACGTATAAATAAATGGACAGTTTTTATGATGTAGGCCAAAAATGAGCTTCCCCTCTTTGAAAGACCACCAGCCGCCACTGGCACAAACCTATGGCGCTAAAGCCCGTCGAAATGGGGGAGGCTACCCGTCTATATAAGCGGGCATTCGGCCATAGGATCTTAGACTAATTCTCCTTCAGTGATGAGATCTTCTCTTCGCTGGACTCTGAAGAAGAAGCCTTCTCGCCATTGAACGAGCCTCACAGCGGATCAAGCTGACTGATTAGTGACAGAGTCAGTGTATACATTAATGTCTGTGTCTGCTGCATCTCGGACAATCTGATAACCCATGGTTTGAAAACAGTCCTGAAGTGTGAAAATTGTTTTCTCACTCCATTTATAAACTGACCTGATAACTGTTTTTTCTGCTTCAGCTTTTGTTTGTATGCAGGCAGAAGGAGAATAGAGATGGGATCAGCTTTAACTCAGGGCGGGGGAGAGGTTTGTTGCTGTCCTTGAGTGCAGTATTGTAACGATGTGGCAGGAATGAAGCGGAGAGCGAATCCAAATGCAAGCACTATTTTAATAATAATAATAATAATAATAATACAAAAAGGTAATCCGGGGTAAACAAAGAAACTCAGATCAGGAACTCAGAACAAGAACCAGGAGACAGCTACAAGCAACAGCAAACAACAACTGAAGCACAGGGGTTTAAATACACAGGCAAACAAGCTAAACAAGATAACAAGGGGCTAATTAGAAACACCCGGAGAGACTAATAAACAAGAAAAACTACAAAGGACTACAAAACATGGCACAGAACAGGAAATAACAAAAGTCCACACAAGACAAGGAAAACTTAAGACAGGAATCGTGACAAGTATAACAGTGATCAAGCGTCTCGCAGCTCGCTTAGGAAAAGTTATATGTTGGATACATTTTGGGAGAACTTTTTTCAGATTTGTCCTATTAAAGTCCCAGACGATATTAAAAGCGGCATCTGAATATTTGTTTATCTCGACTGTTTATGGTTTCATACAGAATGTCCAGGGCTTTACTTTTATCTACCTGTGGTAGGTCACTGTTGATCGAACTAAATTCGCATGGAAGAAAGACTGGATGTATTTAACTGCAATGAGACCGACATCAGGACTGCAATGCTTAACAACTGAAACGTCTGAAACACAAACACTTTCTGATGTCTCGCTGAAACATTATCCGAGCATTTAGCTCTTCCATTTTGTTGACCAGCGACTGAACATTTGCTAGAAGAATACCCGGAAGAGGAGGTTTAAAAGTCCTTTTCCCAGTTCTGCACAGAGTCCCGGCACGTTTGCCTCTCTTGCGCTCTGTTGCTATACAATGCTAAGATATATGTACAATAACAATTCAGAAAACAAATAACATTACGATGTCCAGAAATCAATTTCAATTGTATATTGGGTTTATTTAGCCATTTAATGAGATCTACTACTAATATATATTGTTAGTGCCGAGAATTTTCACGTGAATAAATCCATAGATATGCGAAAATAGCTTGTGTACATTCATGGTCTAGTGCAGTGGTTCCCAAACCTGTCCTGGCGACCCACCAACACTGCACGTTTTCTTTGTCTCCCTAATCAAACACACCTGATTCAACCCATGTGATAATGAGCTGATGAGTTGAATCAGGTGTGTTTGATTAGGGAGACAAAGAAAACATGCAGTGTTGGTGGGTCGCCAGGACAGGTTTGGGAACCACGTGGTAGAAGTTTTGGTTCTGGGTTCTAATCCACACTCGTATACATTTTTTATCAGTGGTTGTATATCAAGCAGGGACACATTTGTATGGATTTTGTTTTGTGATTTCACATTTTGTTTTGTGATTTGATAGATTGAAGCGTCCGTGTGAAGACTGTGCTCGAGCCACAAGAGAACACTGTATCCGCACCACTGATAGCAGCGGCAACGGGTACTCAGCAGCTTTAAAAAAAAAAACCCACACATTTCACCGCTAGAACTCTTATTTGACAAACAAACAAAATAAATGCCCTGCCAGTTAACTGGAGATGTTTTATTTATTTGTATTAGGTACATCCGTGCAGCCCGCGAGTTGTTTCAAAAAGTGGTGGAGATAATATCTGGCAAAAACCCATATTGCTCCAGGTCTGTTAAAGATGGTCGCTTTGGCCAGGTGGTGTTTATAGCATAGGGAGCGGGATGATTTACATTATAGAGAGCATTTGATTGGACAGAAGATGTGATGAGGAGCTGAAGTCCGTGGTGACGTCATAAAAATCTGTGATCCATTTTAGCGGAAGTGACTGAGGGACTTTAAGTTTTGAATGCTTATATCTCCTGAATGCGAATTTTGTCATTGGTTTGGAACACAACCAGCTTATTCATAACCTTAAATGGGTGGTATAATACCCTTTTCACAAGATGTAAAATAATTCCTTGATGTCCCCAGAGTGTGTATATAAAGTTTTAGCTCAAAATACAGATATTTTTATATAGCATGTTAAAATGGTCACTTTTTGAGGGTGAGCAAAAACCCAATGTTTTTGTGTCTGTCCCTTTAAATGCAAATGAGCTGCTGCTCCTGGCACAGAGGGCGGAGCTTCAAGAGCTTGTGTCCCTTTACCTCACACACTCACACACACACACTAAATTTTTTTTAAAAACTTTTAGCCGTTTATGTTCAAACCGAAGTCAGACAATGATGGACTCAAGAAGAAGAGACAACATGTAGAATCAACAGGACATTTCTGAATGGTTAGTTGATGAATTTATGCAGCTTATGTGTAGTTATCTTCTAGTCATTGATTAGCATATTCTGTCATGATAATCTATAAATCGCGTTCCCGGGGGCGGAGTTTATGTAAATTCTAGAGTTAGTGATGTTACTAACCCGGGAGGAAGTTCGTGTAGTTCCTATCAGCCGTTTGTTGTAGTCCTTAAAAAGCGATTTCTGTAATAGGAAATATCCAAGGGTGTAATCCACCAGCCGGACACTGAAGCCTCCCGGGGGCCGCCATCGGCTAGCAAGCATTCTCCTGCTGTTAGCATTCAATTGACTCCCATTCATTTTGGCGTCACTTTGACAGCGAATAACTTTACATCTGAGGCGTTTAAAGACTCAATTTGTCCATTATTTATGTCTAAAGAAACACGACAATGTATAAAATGCTCCATTACCTTGTATCTTACGTTATGGCCCCGTAGAAGCAGTTTTTGTAAAAATAGGCTAACGATTGCGTCATAACACGCGACTCTCTGTCGCGCAGTAGAGAAATTACCGTATAGACTGAAGTAGAAGCTTGCGCGCAATCGGGGGGACGTGGAGGCATAAAGTCAAGGGAAAAGCCCATAGAGAGTTGTATAGTGTCTCCTGCTGCTCATGGACAGCTCATACTCACGCTCTCCGGCTCTGTGAGATTCGGAAGGGATGATTCAGATTCCTCTTGGCACCGCTACTAGAAGACGTACAGCTGTCAGACAGGCTCACGTCACATCTCCGTCAGTTTGAGCATGCGCAGTGCGCTTGGCAATCAGGAAGTGACTGCTTCTAATTTAATTCACTTTTCTCCATTGAAGTCTATGGGGTCGCTGTGTCCATTTCTTTTACTGTCTATGGAAATATCTCTCTTTGCTTTGAACTTTGAGCGTCGTAACTTTGCAGATGTTGTTTATGCTCAAACAGCAACATTACACACTAACTAAAGTTAGAAAAGTGAAATCATAATCAACCACCCCTTTAAGGCTATTGTATTTATACTAAAAGCTAAAAAACTTAAATATTGATTTCAGGGGGCCTTTAAGCCTTCATGTTTGCCATGTGTCCTTGTCAAGTCAAGTCACCTTCATTTATATAGCGCTTTTAACAATATAGATTGTTTCAAAACAGCTTTACAGTGATAATAGGAAATTAAAGTAACAGAGATTGTTTTGGGTTTACAGTAGGGCTGGGAATCGCTGGGTACTTCACGATACGATACGATACGCGATACATTGTTCACGATACCGATAATATCACGATATGGCGATACTGCGATAATCGATATATTATCAGTAATAACTCACAATATATCATGTTTTAAGAAATACAATTTTTTTTTTTTTTATTAGGAAAATGAATCTCCATTTATTTTTTTGGATGAAACACAATAACAAAAACAACTTCTTATCAGTTGCAACAAAACAGTCACAGACACTATTTTAGTGTAACATTGCTGCAATAAGTAGTAATACTATGTCTTCGACAAACGGTGACACCATTTGGGTGCAAAATAGCTGTAAGGCTGAGGACAGATACAGTGTAAACAATACTATATGATTGTCCTTCATAAACATGAACAGTGACACTATTAAGTGCAAGAAACATAAACCTTTGGGCTACTGCTTTCAAATAAAAAATAAATATATCAGGGATAGAGTAAATCTAAAACGTACCCAACTTAAAGTGCATCCAAAAATAAAAAAAATTCAGAACAAAATAGAAAACAGTTTAATGTGATGTGTTTTATATGTTCATATTTTTCTTGAGAAAGAGGAGTTGGTCAGCATGTTCAGGAGTGAGTGAACTTCTTTGGGCACTGATGATATCTCCTGCAGTTGAAAAGACCCTCTCAGCTGCTACACTGGTCCCAGGAATACACAAATGCATATGGGCCAGCTTGGAGAGGAGAGGGAACACATGTTGCTGAGATTTCCACCACAACAGTGGATCTTCAGTGAGAGGCAGAGAAGGAGCATCTTAATATTGTTTTATCTCCTTCTCTGCAATTGAGGTTGCTGATGTAGAGACATAAGAGGTCTTCTTGAAGGTCTGACCAAGAAGATCAACAAGTGCAGACTTTCTTTTCTTTGCTGTGCAGGTCTCCTCTTCCTCTAAATCCCCCTGAACATCACCACAAGGCACTGGATCATCCTCCTTTAAAGCTGCAGCTTTTGACTGTAGTTTTGCATAAGTGTCTTGCACTTCTTCAGGTGACAGAAATAAAAGGGATTTAAATCTAGGGTCCAGGGCTGAGGAGATCTTTTTCCACCTCTGATTGATATCTCTTTGAAAGGTCTTGATTGATGGCTCCCTTAATCTCTCGAACCAGAGGGGAATCTTCTTCAGTGCTGGTTGTGTCATCTCGCAGCAGTTGGGCATGAAGAGGAGCAACCACTGAAATGGTGGGATTCTTTTCCTCACACATGATATTTGTTGCCACAAGCATTGGTCTAAGTGCTTCCACCATCTCTTCAGCGCTTGAGATGTCATTCTCTGTCAGAGCACAGTCAGTCACATTCTTTCTCACCTTAATAAAAAAAAAAAGAAAAAAAAAAGGCAAAATACAATTTATTAATAAAATGTATATAACTATTGTTCTATATTTTAAAGCAAATAAAGCATGAACTGTATGATGTAACCTAATGTTTTTATTTGGAGTTTATATTATTTATACCTTTTTAGTATGTATAAAGTATTTATTCATTGTATCAAGTAAGTTTAAATCATATGTTTTAGTATTTATTTACAAACTTATTCATTGTATATGATAAATTATTCACATTTATTACACATATAGATTACAACTTCTACATTGCACACTTTTCTTACCTCTGTTGATAAGAGGGCAGCACAGACAGCTGGCTGTTGCTCAAGAAACCTGGAGACCATCTCATAGGCACTATTCCAACGAACAGGCATGTCCGTGATGAGCTTGTGAAGGGGGAGGCCAAGGAGTTTCTGGTTTCTTTTCAGTGCTTCTGCTCCAGTTGTGCTTCTATGAAAGAATGTTGAGATCCTCCTAACTTTGACAAGTACCTTGGAAACAGCAGCTATTTTCAGCGCACGTTGGGATGCAAGATTTAAAACATGAGCAAAACATCTAACATGTTGGTATCCTGTTAAGTCCATTGCTACACGCATGTTTGATGCATTGTCGGTGACAACCACTGGCTTCTTAGCGTCAAGATTCCACTCCCCCACTGTGGCTTTCAGTACATCGGCAATGTGTGACCCAGTGTGCGTTTCGTGCATTGCTCGGGTTTGCAGGACATATGACTTCATTTCCCAGTCTTCGTTTATAAAATGTACAGTGAACGTTATGTAGGAGTCCGTGGCTCTCGATGTCCACCCGTCACACGTGAGCCCCACTCTTTCTGCCGACTCGAGTGCCGACTCAACTTCAGCCCTGGTCTGGTCATAAAGTGCAGGAATAATTTTTTCAGAAAAATATTTCCGAGAGGGAATATCAAAGCGTGGCTCTAAGATTTTCATCAAAAAGCAGAACCCCTCGTTCTCCACCTCGCTGTACGGACGGAGCCCTTTACACATGTAAACAGCGATCCCATTTGTGATTGACTTTGCCCTCGCAGAACAAGGTGGTAGCTTTGCCTGGAAAAAGGTGTTTACGCCGGGGTGTGTCGGCTTCGAGCCAGCACTAACCACGGCTTTCTCACAGAGCTCCGGGTGATGCCGCGTGAGGTGGCTGTGCAAGTTTGTCGTGTTTCCCGTGTAGCGGACTTTTGCCAAGCAGTTCTTGCATATTGCGTAGTCCTTTTCTAGCTTTGCCCCGTCCGCACTGCTATAAAATCCAAAGTGAGTCCACACTTTGGATTTAAATGTTGCTGGAGCGTCCTTTAACTTCTTGCTCTCACTATTACTTTCCCTGCTTGACTCCGCCATTTTCAAGTGTGTTTACGTCTTCTTACGCCCACAACAGCCAAACTCGCAACGCGTGCCCCCTATCTACTTCTGAAGGGTCTCATCAAGGGATAATGAATAGAGCGTTTTATAACGGCTTTTAAGATCGGTACTTGGCAAGAGCGCATCGAGAATCGATCGCGGGAGTAAATATCGTGAGATATCGCCATATCGATATTTTGGCGCACCCCTAGTTTACAGCAGCTGTAGAATAAAGTTATTGTCCAGATAAAGTTCGTTTTGATTGATTCACTTCCGTCGCAACGATCATTAGTTATTAACTTAGCTGTTAGTATGGTCTACTAACAGGAAACCCTTAATGCAATCCGGCCGCTCATTTGGACAAAACAGTGTCTGGTGCCTCGAGAACGCAAACCATGAAATAGGTTCCAAGGTCCAAGCCTTGAAAAATGTATAATACGGAATTTTTTATCGCTTCTGCGTAGCCATGTGAACCTGAATTATCCTGACAACGTTTGATCTGTAAAGAGGTAAAGGGAAGGAGGCCTTCACAGGGAGGGACTAGTGACTCTTCAGCACTGCGTTGTCGTCGTGTCCAGGCGCAGGTCCGTCATCAGATCTGGAGTGTGTGTGTGTGTGTGAGTGTATCCAGGCGCAGGTCCTTCATCAGATCTGGATACGGCCTGGATCCGGCGGACTGCGGTAAACCTCGGGATAAACAGAGAGGCTAATATTAGCATAGACGCCATTCTTCTTATGATGTAACGAGTGCATCAGGATTTATGGGAAGTGTCCCCGGTTCCGGCTGACCTAATCTATGCAGCCTAACATTGAGTTATAGAAGTCTATAATGTATTATGTGTATGCTAGGTCAAAGAGATGTGTTTTTAGTCTAGCTTTGAACTGACAGAGTGTGTCTGCTTCCCGGACAATGGTAGGAAGACTGTTCCAAAGTTTTGGTGCTAAATAGGAAAAGGATCTCCCGCCTGCAGTCGATTTAGATATTCTAGGTATTATCAACTGGCCGGAACTTTGAGATCGCAATAGACGTGAAGGACTATAATGCGTTAAGAGCTCGCTCAAGTACTGGGAGCTAAATCATTTAGTGCTTTGTAAGCAATATTTTAAAATTTATACGATGTTTGTTTAATAGGCAGCCAATGCAGTGTTGACAGAACCGGGCTAATATAATCATATTTCCTGGTTCTGGTAAGAACTCGAGCGGCTGCGTTTTGGACCCGCTGGAGTTTGTTTATTAAGCGTGCAGGGCAACCACCCAGTAGAGCATTACAATAATCTAGCCTTGATGTCATGAACGCATGAACTAATTCTTCCGCATTTGTCATTGAGAGCATATGACGTAATTTAGATACATTTTTTAAGATGTAAAAATGCGGTTTTACAGATACTAGACACGTGGCTTTCAAATGAAAGATTAGTATCAAAGAGCAAACACACACTCACAGGTTTCTAACCGACGACGAAGACTTGACAGCCATCAAGTGTTAGACAGTATTCTAGGTTATTATGTGAGGAAGTTTTTTGTCCAATAATTAGAATCTCTGTTTTTCAGAATTAAGTAGTAGGAAATTACTAGTCATCCAGTTTTTTATATCAGCTATGCATTCCGTTACTTTTGTGAATTGGTAAGTTTTGTCAGGGCGTGAAGAAATATAGAGCTGAGTATCATCGGCATAACAGTGAAAGCTAATTCCATGTTTCCTAATGATATCTCCCAAGGGTAGCATGTACAGTGTGTGTGTGTGTGTGTGAGGGTAGCATGTACAGAGTGAACAGCAGCGGTCCTAGTACTGAGCCTTGTGGTATGCCATAATGAACTTGTGATCGATAAGACATATCTTCATTTACTGCTACAAACTGATAACGGACAGATTTGTCATGTATTGTTACCTGTAACCACTGTTTGGTGAGTTTTCTGCTTATGTTGAAGTTTAGAGTGCCATGCCTATGTTTGGGATTATTTGAATAAACTGCATTTGGGTTCTCCAAGCTTGCCTTCAGTGGACCTTTCATTACACCTGTGAAGAAGACAGGGGCGGCGTGACTGGTACGTTTTATTAAACTCAAAATCAAAAACAAAAGGCGTGCCCACAGTTTTGTTCTTTTTAGAAAAAAAAAATATATATAGCATTTTTCTATAATTACCATTGTCCATTGACCTAATATATCATTAAAAAAATTAAATCAAGCTGTTATTTCATGTTCCCTTGGGGGGCCCCCTGGTGGCCACGGGGGCCCTAATCAGCCACTTAGTTCACTTATGTCAGTCATAGTTCAGACAATTCTGTCTGAATTGTTTCCAATACTTATTTTCCGCAGAATTGATACACGATACCAGCAGCTCTTTCTTGTTTTCTCATGATCTCTCCGGCAGGAAGTTGACACACAAACACGCCTCCCCTCACTCACTCCTTTCATTTGCTCCGGATGAATATTAATGGTGTTACAGGGGTTTAATTTCGGTGTGGGACTGCATTGCTCATATTATTGCACATCATTTTACTCATTTCCACAGATTTTTTGCTGACACTCAAAGTCACCTCTCAGTACTAAATTGAGTTCGTTTTCGCATCTTAATGCGTTTAATACACGCAAATTGCCAAAATGCCGGTCTTGGTGAGTACAGTTATGTTTTAAGTGAAAGTAAACAGTTGAAAAATAAAATGTATGTGTAACAGTATAATGGATCTGTGCGTCAGATTATACCTATACCTGCCTAATATACCTGCTGCCAAATTATGAGATAATATTAAAAATATCTATATGGCAGTCAGGGGCGTCACTAGGGTTTTCATTTTAGGGGGGCTAAGCCCCCAATATGATTTTTAAACAAATTATAAAAAAGGTAACACTTTAGTTTAGGATCTAAAGATCACTATTAACCATTTTCATTACGATGCAAAGGCACGGTTTTATAATAACTGTGGTCCCAAATGTGAGGCAGGGCAAATAGGGGGGTTCGGGGTCTCCCCGAGAAAATTTTGATTTCTCTGATCTACATATGTGCATTTTAAGATGTTCTGAAGGCCAAAAAACTTGGATAGTGGGCAGCTGATTATTTTTATCTCCTCCTCAGCAGCATCACTTTTTTTCTCTTTGTTTTTCTCTTGCCCTGTCTCTTCCCCTCCTAAAGCTGAGCTTTGACTGATATAGGCTTTTCATTTTTGTCTGTCAGTGAAGAAAGTAAACATAGGCAGTGGCGTCATGCCCATTCAAAATTTTCCTCCCTGATAATTTTTTATTTCTTCAGTCTTGTTATAATCAGATTCAGCGCGTTGTTCATCTTCAATCCGCAGCGGTGCCGAGCAGAGCGCACGTCAGAAACAGAGGACAGTGTGTGTGTGCGTGCGTGTTCATCTGAGCCTCATTGGTCTGTCACTGCTCGTCAATGTCAGAATATTTGAGATGACCAATCAAATCAAAGTAGGGGGGCTTTATGTTCACAGAAGCTGAGCGCGAATTTTAGCAGTGAGACTCGACGCTTCAGTGTACAGTCACGTGCGAGATGTAAGTAGCTAAACTAAACATTTCATATTTGACAGTTTTTTTAGTTCATAAATGTTAAACGAATGACAAAAATAATCAGGCACACGAATATACTTTTGTCTAATTTCGCCATTTTGAGCTGAAAATAGGCCTATGTAACATGACTCGTAATGTAGGCTAATAATTAGTTTACTGTCATTGTGAGGGGAAAAGACGTTTTCATTGTTAGGCACAAGATTAATAATGAATGTGTACATATTGAGAATTAATATAGTACAACTTGTAGCCTTACGTAAATTAAAAAAGCTCAGCTTTAGGAGGGGAAGGCAAGATCAGGAGACTGAGAGAAAAAGAAAGAGTGATGGATAAGAAGTGAGAGCAGGTATTGACAAATAATCTGCCCACTGACATGGTTTTAAAGCTATTTCTTATCCTTTTTTTGGCCTTCAAACGTCTTGAAATGCACATATCAGAGAAATAAAAAATTTGAACCCCCTACCCACTTCAAATTTAGGACCTCTGTGATTATAAAGCCCTGTCTACGGCCCTGTATTAGGCATAAGATCAATAATGAATGTGTACTGTGAATGAATTTAATAAACTTAGTTAGGCTACCTAGCTTTCCTAGTAGCTTTCAGTAAATAAATTCGTCTGAGAAAATGATTCATAAATCAACCTATCAGTTGACCCTATGTTTACTTTCTTCACTGACAGACAAAAATGAAAAGCCTATCAGTCAAAGCTCAACTTTAGGAGTTTTTTTGGCCTTCAAAACATCTTATAATGCACATATAAGATACACATATACTTTAACTTAGTCCTCAGATAGAGGAGGGTTGCTGCTAGCTCCGTTAAGGTATTTCTGTCCCTCCCAAACTGCATTGAAATAGTATGTTTCGCAGCCAGAATTAAAAAAATTTCAGTGGGAGAAACCCCCTGACCCCTCCTAACATGATCCATATGACCCGTCAGAAAACAATTGCAACGTCTCAGATTGTGCCCCCCCAGAATTTTGGCTTGCATGACGCCCCTGAACATAGGGTCAAACTGATAGGGTGATTTTTTGCCTATGAATCATTTTCTCAGACGCGTTTATTTACTGAAAGCTACTAAAGGTAATTAAGTTTATTAAATGCATTCACAATATGTAGGCTACACATTTATTATTGATCTTATGCCTAATACAGGGCCGTAGACAGGGCTTTATAATCACAGAGGTCCTAAATTTATTTGAGATTGGTAGGGGGTTCAAATTTTTTATTTCTGATATGTGCATTTCAAGACGTTTGAAGACCAAAAAAAAAAAGGATAAGAAATAGGTTTAAAACCATGTCAGTGGGCAGATTATTTGTCAATACCTCCTCTGTTCTCATCTCCATCACTCTTCCTTTTTTTCTCAGTCTCTTCCCTTTCTCTTCCCCTCCTAAAGCTGAGCTTTTTTAATTTACTAAAGGCTACAATTTGTATTATATTCTCAATATGTACACATTCATTATTAATCTTGTTCCTAACAT